GGCACGTTTTTACGTTGATTCAATTGCTGTGAGATGGCCTCCAGGCGAAGGATGAAGAGAAGTGGACTAAAAACAGAGCTCTGGTGTACATTAATATCAAATTTGAATTTTTCACTGTACTGACCATTCACCCGAACACAGCTCCGGGCATCACAGTACAAACCCTGGACGAACTGACTTCGAGACAGACTTCAACATGGTCGCAAGCTTTATCCAGGTTCACGAAAGCTCAGTAGAGAGGTCTTTGAGCAGCAATGAGTTTTTCTTGTAGGGCCGAATTCTGAATATGGCGTCAGTAATACCTATGCCAAGTACAAAGCCAAACTGCATCTGGTCTATTTGCATCATCGTACAGATGATGTGCTCGTGCACTCGTTCCACCAGTTCCATCAATTGGCCAGTGAGTTTCAATCTTCGATAATTTCCACGGCTTAGAACTCCTTTCTTGCCCATGTAGAGGTTCTGAAGAGTCTTCAGGAATTACACCATTTTTGAATATGGCCTCAGTTAGCTGCCTCGTCAGTTCGAGACCAACATCACCGGCTGCTTTCAATATCTCAACAACAATGCCTGGGGGCCCTGTATATCATTTCTGTCGAAACTTCAGGCGGCTGTCCAGCAACCGACGCAGTCTTCGGGAACGTTTCACTTGGCCCATCAAATTCTACATTGAGAAGTCTGTCAAAGTGTTCAACCCACGCGCTCATTTTATCGTTGGCGGTAGCTAGCTCACTGGCAACCTTGCGCACACAATTCTCCCCCGATATGTCCTGATTTGAACAATTCGTCTGATTTGCGATCCGAAAGACACAATCGCGATTCTGAGACACTTGGGGCCTGTTCCTTCTCAGCAGCAGACTTGGCATAGTAGACAGTATGTTTTGAATTGTGCTTTGCTCTCAGATAAATTTCGAGAGCCTTCAGGGCGTTAGTCGTCTTGCCTACTTTTAATAAAGCTTTGTAAATTGTTTCAGGTCTCTATTTGTGGTTCTTTGATAGTCTACGTATATCGGTAGCAGCCTTTGGAGTCGGAAGCTTTAGACGAGACCAGACAGATTCAACAAATTGTTTCCGACATTCTTTGTCGCTCAAAAGTTTTTTTATGACAGATATACTCAATCTTTGTCGCCTTAGTCATTGATTCAGAAAATTTGTTTCAATACTGTTTTTACTACTAGCAATTGTATTTCTCGACTTAATTTCCTAAAAATGAATTTCATTCTAGAAAAACGTATGAAGTTTTGGTTACACCTATTTTTCGATGCTTTTTCCGGACCTTTTTGTTCGAGTTAGTGGCTTTGTCTAACTTCTCTGCCGGCTTGCTTGACGTGCTATGCTTGTGATGTATCCGCTGCATATCTGTGTCTAAAAATTGACTTGTGGTCATTTCCTGACTTTCATTTTAATCTGTAAGGAAGAATCAGACTAAAGCAAGCACAGGAAATGGATGTTGATAGCTCTATTCGCAACAAACTGAAGGAAGTAAACTTAGAATAGCTACAAATCAAGCTTAAATTATGTACATGGTAAAGTATCCAAATAAAGTGCTAAAAGTTAGATTACTTTGGTTATTGCATGGGCGCACAAAAACAACGTGCATTAAAATTCTGCATCAACACCTTTTCTCAGAACTCTCTGCTCAAAAAACCAGCAATACCATGCTGCAAGCAAGAAACCATCAACCTGGACTGCCAAGAAAAGGGTTGTCATCAATAGTTAAATATCATTTAAAAAAACAATTTTCTGGACTCTCGAAGTACATAAATGCATGGTTTCAGAGAAGAATACCGCAAAAAAATGAGTCTGGAAACGTGTTTTAAACTGTAATGAGGCAGGACTGGCTATAGTTACTCTAGCGAGAGCAAGTGTCTTGAATCCGCTATACTTTTCTCGTCGACATTTTTTCTTTGCAAATCTGTAAGAAATTTAGAATTCGCTCGATTGTTGAACCTTAAAAACTTCCAGGCTTCTTCCCACTTGGTATTGAGGAAAATAGATTTTTTTTCAAAAAAAAACCGAATTATCATTTTCTTTTGGCTGGTTATATCTTGGCTTAATTTTTGAAGCATGTTTTTTTTCTGATTTGAACAATTGTTACTATATCTGTCAGTCATCCTGTTATTTCGTCAATTTACCAACTCGATTGTTGTTGTTTTTTGTGTTTTTTTTCGATTAGAATGGTTTTGACATGTTTTATGGCTAAGACTATTTCTTTTCGGTTAAAAGGCAAACATAGATTAATATTTTGCGAAGATTATTCAGGTTGATTGTTGTGTAAAAATTCAATTTTTAAATTTTAAACTTAATCGGTCAAAGTTTTTTTATGACAAAAATATTTAGGCGCTTTTTTGTTTTTGGCTCTATTCAAGTATTGTCGGCTTAGTGGATCTGTAGCGTAGAAGTAGGGAAGGAGAACCGCAACAAAATGAGAGGGTTCGAAATTGGGCAGGGTCATATGTTTTTAATAAAATTTTTTGTGTTCTAATTAAAACGCGTCCGCTCTATAACTTGAAGCATGTTAGTTGGTAAATTTTTTTTCAATTTGACTGGTACTGCTAATGCGTCATAATTGGCTTGCGTCCCTTAGCAATTATATAGACTCATAATTGGCGTGCCTCACTTAATAAATTTTGTAGACCCAAAGTTTTCTCATTCAGTTTGTCCCAATAGCGTTATCGATCATATTTTGCTTGTATGCGAAGTGCAACTTCGCCTCGGCTTAAGTAGTGTGTTATTGCGTATTAATCTTCAATAGTGTATTAATCTTTACGAAAGTAATAAAGCTTATTTATGCTAGTGCTTGTGTTTCTCGACTGTTTTTTTTTCTGTAATTGATTTTTATTTTATGAACGTAGTGAAGACTTATATAGGTCTTGTTGATTTTTTTGTTATTTTTTTGTCATGCATTCATACTTATTAATGCATTTATGAATACCTTTAGGTAAAATGATTTTTTTGATTTCAATTGAAATTCATCTGCTGAAAGTTACGTAAATAGCACTCTCCAAATACGAACGTGGAAATGGCGCGAAAAAACGTGAACGATTTCTAGTTTTGAAAGTGGAATTTAATTTGTAGATTTCCAGTTGATTGAAAATTTTACCTGTTTTCTCCAGTTTTCTCAAGCTTGGTTAATGTTATCAAAGAAGCGCTACTCATAAGCTGTTCTAGAACTTCAAAGAGCTTGAAGGGCATCTATTTTTTTCTTTGATGTATTGGTTACCGTCTCAATTTCTTTTCGCTAGCTTTTAATGCTTCGATTGCGTTGTATCAAAAGTGGTGCGAAACTCCGCCTCGCCTCATTGTAGACCTATTTTACTCCGAAAAAAAAATACATTTGTCCCTCATTTTTCCAAGTTTTTTGTTGGAGGCTACCTCATGGTTAACTAATTATTTAGAATTACGTAATTCTGAGCAATACGTCAAAAAAACTTTCTGCTGTTTAAGCGAATCAACTGGGAGTTTTTGCATGAATAAAAGCCTGATAATTGGTATAACATCATTAATATAAAATACAATTAATATGAAAGTTGTCTTAAAAGTCAGATGCCTGGGGACGGTACCGAAAGTGAGAAACGTCATTCCAATTACGAGATTTTTTTTGGTTTTACGCTTTACTGCTAGAGGTAAGCTTCTTTTGGAGGGAAAAACGTCAGACTTGACAGGATAAAAAGGAAACTTCCGCAATGATAGAGTAAATTGAAATCATATTGGTATATTTTGTATTGGTTTATTGATATTTAAAAACAAATGCTTGACATTTCCAGAAATTGTATGCCTTCAGAAAAGAACAATTTATCTACAAGTTCTTTCAGATGAAATTTCTGAAATTTAACCTAAGTTTCTCATTAACTATTTGTGCAGAGAAAATGAAATTTTCACCCAATGTTGAAAATAGTTGGAACTTTTGTTCAAAATGGTTTTTTGAAAATTCACGCTGACGATTGAAGGGAAATTTTACTTGCAGTTTGCCTAAAAGTTGTATACATGAAAAAAAAATTAAATTATCGAGATAACAAAAATGTTACACAGACATTTAAGGACAGTTTATTCACCAAAATGTTATTGACGGAAAATAATAACCGAGGGCGTTTAATGGTAAGCCATTGAAAAGCTTATTTTGGACTCTTTTGCCGATTGCCATCGCCCGTTTGCTGTTTCTGGCGTTCCTAAATTTTGTCCAATTGGCGTCAAAATTGAAAGGTGGCTGCATTAAGCCTTTAAAAACCCATTTAGTAATCATTCGCGTAAAATCATTCGTTACACTGTTAATATGTTCATGAAAAAAAATGCAAATTGCGGGTCAACGTTTGAAGAGCTATTTTTGAATGTTAACATTTAATAGTTCGTTTTGGCGCGGATAAAATATCGACTTTCAAAGAAGATAAAAACCAAATATTTTCTCGATGTGGCGTTTTGTTTTTACCACTTATTGATTTATGACATCTTTCTGAAAAATAAATACAAAAACTTTCTTAGGTTAGTTAAACATTCCCAAGTTTTATCAGTGTCTGAGCTCAATTGTCCAATAATTGAGCAAAAGTATCTGAAAGACCTTTCGGAGCTATCAAGAAATGAAATAATGTGGATATAAGTTTAATTTAACTAGATTAAGCGTCCATTTGTTAAATTAAGTTGGGTAAAAAATTTTTATTTGCTTCGACCTTATCCATGTCGACGCAGCCGTTCTCATTTTGAGAAGGTTTAGGGCATTGGAGACCCCCCGACCGGGACCGAAGTGGGATTCGATCCCCCGATTCTCGTGTTGAGAGGCTACCGCCCCTCTTGGGCGACAATTTCCTTCAAGGAGTGAGCGGTTGTTAGTTGCCAATCAATGCCAAGTAGCAACCGCTTACTCTCTGCACTTGATTTCGTGCCATAGTAGTCGTGAATTAGTGCACGTCGCTTAATCTACTAATATGAATTGTCAGCTGCTACAATTTTTCGCCTCACGTCAAATGTAAATGGATTTTAATCAAATGTTGTGATTGTTTCTGCAGATAGTGACGGCCAATTACACGGACTTGCAGGACTACACGTACTACTTCGTAGCTGGTCCGTGGCTGTCGGTGAAGTTGCTCCGGCTGCTCCAGCTCTACCCTACTCCAGAGGATCCGGCCATCCTGCAGAGACTCAGCACTTGTCTCGACAACATCCTCAACCGAACCAACGTTAGCCCCCCCCCCCTCGCAATTATACTGATTGATATAGGAAAGAGTCAATAGAGATGTTTCAAATGAGTGTTAATAAGCTATCACATTTAGCTTGTTTCCGAAAGGCCTGTCAATTTCTCTCAATGTTAATCTTTGGTTTATGAAAAAGACTCATTATGTTTACTATCAAGTTAATAATCGGTTTTCCTAACAGGACTATGTCCTTGACTATGTGCTTGCACACCGGAATATAAGTCAGTTATAAGTGATTCTATGTCCTGGAATGAAACGAAAAAGTCGTCAGGATATTAAATTCGTCTCTCATATTATGGACGCCTAATTAAGTATACAAGTTGTGTGCGTTTTTTAAATCAGTTCTGATAGTTTCACTTGCGAAAACAATTAATCTATGTTGGAGGATCATTTAAACGTTTTTCAATAACCCAAGATTTTTTTTTTCAGGAAGCACCCAAATCGAAGAAGGTGCAACATAGCAATGCTAAAAACGCAGTACTTTTCGAAGCCATCAACCTCATAATTCACATGGAGAACGACGAGCGACTTCTCACTCGTGCCTGCCAGCAACTCTGTCTCTTCCTCTCCCACAAAGAGACCAATCTGCGATATCTGGCTCTGGAGAGCATGTGTAATCTGGCTAGCACTGGGTGTGGGAAGTACATAGAACCGGCTCAGTTGAACCCAGTTATTAACTCGTTGAAGAGTGAGCGGGACATAAGTGTGAGACAGAGAGCGGTGGATCTGTTGTATGCGATGTGTGACTACCAGAATGTGAAGACAATTGTAGCTGAGATGCTGTCTTATTTAGAACTGGCAGATTACTCCATCCGAGAAGAACTGGTTTGTCGTCTTGGATTTTTAAATGCAAAAACAATCTTTTTTATTCGACTTTTTATTTTAAGAAAATTGATGCATTTTTCGTGAATTCCTGTTATTGCCATAGAAATTGCACTTCATGCTGCGGAAATAATTTTTGTAGTGAATCCATGTCTAGGTGTTGAAATATCCCAATGTGAGGTATAACGTATCTAGGTATAACTTGACAATCTTTCTCGTATGCTTATTTCTGTATAATTCACTCCTATATGTACACTGGGAATTTAACAATCTATTGGGTACGGCGTAAAGTGGTCGATTTATGGAACTTTTGAAGACTTTCAATATTTCAACGTTCTAATTGATTTTAAAAAATCTTCTGGACAAAAATTTATATCAATTTTGCAGAAGGCATTTATAATCTTCATGGTTTCACTTGCAAAAGCAAGTATGAAAGGCCATTTTTTTAAAATCTGGTACGGTTTTTATTTGCCTACTTTTAAAACAGTTTTATACTATAACTGAAAGTTCTGTAATCGAGTAGTTACTTGTAATAGGGAACTAGTCATAAATTGAGGCATTGCATTACAGGTACTGAAAGTGGCGATCTTGAGCGAGAAATGGGCGAAGGACTACACGTGGTATGTGGATACGATTCTACGATTGATCAGAGTGGCAGGAGACTATGTCTCGGAGGAAGTGTGGCACCGAGTCATACAAATAGTCACCAATGTCGACACTGTCAGACATTACGCGGCTAAGACAGTGTTCGAGGCACTACAAGCCAATGCATGTCACGAGAACATGGTCAAAGTGGGAGGGTATATTCTAGGTGAGTTCGGACACTTGATAGCCAAGGATCCGAGCTCCACACCTCTCACGCAGTTTCAGCTCTTACATTCCAAGTTTCCTCTGTGCTCTGTGTCGACGAGAATAATGCTGCTCAACACATACGTCAAGTTTGCAAATGTGTTTGAGGAGTACGCAGGCGTCAAAGATGCTATCAAAGATGTAAGTTTTTTCTAATCTGCCGATGGAAAGCAATATTAAATCATCGTGTCTTTCTTGGTGTATGTAATCAAAGTATTGTCTGTGAGCTTACATTTAGTTGAAAATCTGAAAACGCTTGGAGTGCTTCATTATTTATTTGAAACCGTTGTTGCAGGTTCTTCTGAATGATTCCAATATTAAGAGCAGCGACGTAGAACTTCAGCAGAGGGCATCGGAATACCACAGACTGATTACTATGAACAACACGGATGTCCTGGTTAGTACGTTTCAACTCTGGTTGGTTTAGAACTTAAGTTAATTTTTTCCCGTTTTTTTTCAAAGGCTTAGCTGTGAAAGGCTGGCGCCATATTAAAAAATACTTTCTGGTTGTGTGTCAATTTGATATGTTGTGGTTAAATTAAATGAATCAAATTTACAGAATACTGTATTGGACGAGATGCCTGCTTTCCCCGAAAAAGAGTCGAGCCTTCTGGCTAAATTGAAGCAGTACAGTAGAACAAACGCAATTGGCGCTCAGAACGAAGAAGAGGAGGGTGAAACTGGAACTTCAAAGCAGATGCCAGCCGCCAAGGTCAGATCAACTGATGACGTCAGAACAAACGGCGAGGCTCCAGCGAACGTATCCGGAAAGTCCTCACCAGTTCCAAACATTCCGCCGTCAGTCTCTGAGGACTTGTTGCAACTTGGGGACTCCCAACTAGATTTCTCGACACCAGTTTCGAGTACCAACCCTTATGCCCAGTCGAATGCAGTTGGAGATCTAGGCAGTAATCTGGACCCTCTTCTGGATATTTTTGGACCTGGTCCGACTACTAATGGATCTCTGACGAATGGTTCACTCAGCTCTTTGCCCGGAGGAGTTCATCCAAATGCTGAAGAGGCTTTCAAGAGGTTTGGAATAGCAAAAATTGGAAGTTTAGAACTAACTCAAATTTCATTATACATATGTTTTACAAATTCTAAAATCATAAACATTTTTGCATAAGCATAATCGAAGTCAAGCAGCTAAGAAATCAGTGCTAATGAGAGAAATATTTGAAAATTTTAACTTCTCATAACTTAAGGAAACGATTAACATAAGAGCTGTTCAGTTGTTTACGGGGAGAGCTGCTGTTATACCCCCTGGTCAAAATGTCCATCAATTTTTTTGGTGTTTCCTGGGTTGGCAAATGCTGCCTCACCCAGAAGAAACGAGCACAGATCACGGATGGTCTCGAACCTCTAATCTTTCGATTGACTTGGCAAATTATCAATTCAGTTGGTTTAGATTCGTGCTTTCCGACTCAGGCGTGTTACATGAAGATGATCAGATCCATATTAGCGCGCAAATTGAACCCCGTCAATCAACTGGTAAGTCTCACTTATCTTGATTGTAAGTGAACCAGTTAAATTAGAAAAAGTCATTTATTATGGGCTAGTTGACTCATTGATTCTGTGGTGTGTTAGCTCATTTGATCATTTTGGTGAGTCCTTTTCAGCTATTAAACCTCCTTACCAAGGTAAGTGGCTTGCCATGATGATGTTACTCAACTGCTTGCGTTCCATTTGCAAATTACTAAAAATTAATTTATCTTCGGGATCTTCTCTATCATCTGTGATGCTGAATTTGTGCGAAACATGAACATATTTTTTCAGATTTTTTCTAAATCATCTTTTTGCTAAAAGTAATACTTGGGCGAATCGGATTTGCTTGGCAAGATTTCAGAAATTGAGTGAGGTTTGTATAAGATTTAGCCGCTTCTATCCGAGAAAAAAAAACCAGTATTATTTAAATAAAAAATTTCAACATTATCATTTAAATTTTAAAGAATCTCAAAAATTGCTGTTTTAAATGTTCGCGCTTTTTTAAACAACCTTCGCTTCTTTAAATTTGAGATACGAATATTTAAGAATAAAGTGCTTCTTGATTTCATTATTATTTTCGTTTATTCATCCATAAATAAAAATTCAAACACGAATAGTTCTGGAATGGCGTCAAAAAAGGCTGAGTTTGGTAGAAAAATACTCGAGCTGAATCAAAACAGTAGCTGAAATGTTTTTTTTTGTCGTGTATTATTTAAAAGAGAATTTAAATTATAGGTAAAATGCCAGCTGCATGTCCTTTCTACTCAATTAACAATTATTTGCGCTTCTTAACCAGTCCTCGAGAGAATAATTAATAATTATGGAAGTTTTTCCTTGTTAAATTGGGCGAAAAATAACTTGACACCATTCCATTTTGTTGCTTTCAGCACAACTGACGCTTCTGTTCTCGAACAGTGCAGCTTCTCCTCTCAACGACTTCAGCATCTCCGTTAAGTTGCCCGAAAACCTCTCCGACTTCTTATCTGTAAACGTAAGTGCTCTTTCTTTCAAATGGTCTTGTAAGACTTGATTTTGTCTATATGTTGAAAAATATATAATTTAAAATTTTATATACTGACAACAATTATATAATGAGAATATGATGGAAGACTTCGCCAACAAAAATAGGTAAAAAACGAACAAAGAAAAACAATATTTTTCTGTTGTTTCTCTCCCAATCTTTCAAACTTTTAATGTAAAAAATACTTTAAACGTTTTTTGAGTTCGACCTCAAGAGACGTGTTTCTGATTTTCCACTCATAATTGCATCTTAAGAATTTCACTCATCAGAGAGAAAAAATTGTGTTGCGGCATCCTATTATACAGTGCTGATTTAAATTAATCGGACAAAACGAGCTAAACTTGAAAATTAAAACGCGTTTTTCTCAAATTGGGTCAAGATTAGACAAAAAGTGAAGAGAACAAAAGTTGCTTAGAATTTCATCAAAATTAATATGGTGCATTTTTTTCTTCGAAATTCTCAACCAAAATTTTACCCCAAAAATGGGTCATTTTGGCTTTTTTCAATTAATCAAGAATTACACTGAAACTACTTTGTTAATTGATGAGAAAATTATATCACAAGAAGCCTCCTACATAGCCCAACAAAGTTTAAGAAGGGTTAAATCTCCAAAAACCAGTCAATAAATGTGATTTTTACTATATAAAACCCAGAATATCTGTTTTAAAACAAATTTTAAACAATTTGGGCAAATTTTTGAAGAATTAACCCTTCCTAAACTTTGTTGGGCTATGTAGGAGGATTCTTGTGATATAATTTTCTCATCAATTAACAAAGTAGTTTCAGTGTAATTCTTGATTAATTTAAAAAAGCCAAAATGACCCATTTTTGGGGTAAAATTTTGGTTGAGAATTTCGCAGAAAAAATTGCATCATATTAATTTTGATGAAATTCTAAGCAACTTTTGTTCTCTTCACTTTTTGTCTAATCTTAACCCAATTTGAGAAAAACGCGTTTGAAAATTCAAGTTTTGTTCGTTTTGTCCGGATAATTTAAATCAGCACTGTATACCAGGTGAAAATAAGTATATAATCAATTGAAAATAAATTATTAAATGAAAATAAGTGATTTAATAAGTTTGTTTAAACGCAGTACAAACTATGGTAACTTGTATACATGCAATTCAAAAACTGATATTGTAGAAAGATACCACATTGAAGCGATCTTTTCGCTTGCGAAAACTTATATTATTGATACTTTTTTTTGCAGAAGAAACAAACACTCGAGCGATCTTTGAATACTCAATCATTAATTAGATTACCAGTTAGAGGAAAACTTTCTTTTTGAGTTTTTCCATTATGCGGAAAATAGCGATGAACTTGTTTGCCCGGATCATAACGTGCTGTGACTGATTATCCATAAATTTAATTTTTCGACTTATTAAGAGTCAATGAACGTAGTGAAGACTCTTATATACGCCGTGATGTTTTTTTTAGGAAACAGTCAAGAAATCTATTTGTGCTCAAATTAAATTTTTTAAACTTTTTGTTTCTTTTCAAGTTCAAATGAAGGCAACCTCCACTATCGCATACTAAAAGTGTTAAGTTCACAAAAAACGTGATCAACAATAGTTTCGAAAGTGGATTATAATTTTTAGATTTTCTAGCGGAATAATAAATTACCTAATGATCCATTATTCTCAAATTTGGTGAAACTTATCAAAAAGTGGCAATTGTTAGTTGCTTTTGATGTTTGAAGCTTTATTGTTCTGTGGCATCGATGAAATACAGCCCTTCATACTCGTCAGTAAACAGACAAAACGGATTGATTGAAAAAGGATACTAAGTATTTTCAAAAAAGGCGGTAAACATAGTTTAGACTCTTATATAGGTAGCGTTTTTTTGCGTTTTTTTTTTCAGGAAAAATTTTTAAGTTTGTTCAAGCTCAAAAATAAGTTTTCGCGGTTTGACTTTTCATTTGTTTGTAAGTTCAGTTCGTTCCTTTTTTAAAAGGAAGGTAAACTCCGCTATCGCACAGCGAAAGTATAACGGTTACGAAAAACGTAATTGACTCCTAGTTTCGAAAGTGGAATGTAATTATCGAATTTCCCAGCGAAATAAAAATTTTACTTATTGATCCAGTTTTCTAAAATTAGTTAATTTAATCAAAATAGGGACATCTACTTTGGCCATCTACCTTAAGGCCATCTACTTTAAGGTTGTTTCAGGCCATCTACTTTTTTCCTTGAAATTCGAAAGTTGAGATTTTTTCAAAACGTATGTCCGTTTTTTTCAGTGTAATTGCGTTCATTGACTCTTAATTAACTTTCTGTTTGCTATGTTTTTGAACTCTTAATTTTGAAGTTGGGTAAACTTACAAATATTTTATACCGAAGTCATTCAAGTTGGTTTGATTTTAGAGAAAGTTTTATGCTGTTTTAAAACGTAATAACAGCATCTTTTTTGCTTTACGCCTGTTTAATGGAAATTGAAAAACGTGTTTGCTTACTGGCCTGTTTGGTTACCACATTTTCTGGTTACTCCTTTGTAACCGGCAACAATGTCGAAAAATTTTGTTTGTTTTACTCTTTAATGTTTTCTAATTTTTATTATCATTTTACTAATTGACTCTGGCTGGTGTATAGATGATTCCGATCACGCCTCCTTCCCTCGCCCCTGGAGCACAAGCGAAGCAGATGGTGGAAGTGACATGCAAAGCAGACTACATGACGAAGCCAATCCTCAATGTCTGCTTCACGTAATAACACCATCTACGTCTACTAGCTGCTTCGATTTTTGTTTGTTTGAGGTCATCTTCAGATGCAGATCTTCGGCTCTTTTCCAGTTTTCTCCCTTCGATCATATTCTGAAATTCAATTTAAGACAAATTAATAAGAGCAATGAACGTATTGAAGACTCTTACATAGGTCTTGTTGATTTTTTTTGTTTTTTTTTTCGAAAAAAAGTCTTAAAATATTGATGCTTCTAGGTATATTTGCACTTTTTGAGTTCAAATGTGACGTAAATAGCACTCTCCAAATACGAACGTGGAAATGGCGCGGAAAAAAAACGAGAATGATTTCTAGTTTTGAAAGTGGAATTTATTTTTAAGATTTCCCAGCGGAATAAAAATTTTACCTATTGATCAAGTTTTCTCGAGTTGGATTCATGTTATAAAAAAATCGCCAATCATAAATTGTTCTATTAATTTAAAGAGCTTAAAGGGCATCTATTTTTTTCTTTGAATTTCGAAAATTGAGATTTTTCAAGAAAGTCAGGGTTTTTTATGTTTAATTGCTTTCATTACTCTTTTCCAATCTTCGATTGGCTATGTTTTAAAACGTTTTTGACTTTCTAAACTGCAATAAAAAATGTCAGCGTGAACAAATTTCTAAAACATTTCGGAATTTTATGGGATGAGAAACGGGAAAAGAGCCAAACCTTCCAGAAGATTAGCCTCAAAAAATATTTTGATGACACAACAAGTTCTGTCTGTTATGGTTTCTTTTCTGTTCCTAGCAGCTCTGGAATTGTTTTTTGTTGCTGTTTCAGAAATGGAGGCAGTGGTCTTCCTACAAACCTGTCAGTGTACCTGCCCCTGCCTGTGAGCAAGTTTTTCCAGCCGGTCGTGTTCAACTCTGGCGACTTCTTCACCAAGTGGAAGTTCCTCAGCCAGCCTTCGCAGGAGTGCCAGAAGATATTCGCTGCCAAATTTCCACCCATTAACACCGTAACTGACCATAGCAAAGTTAGTACTTGGCCACTTGCAACCCAAAGGGATCATTAGTTGTCCTTTCATTGTTTCTAGCGCATCACTTTATGAATTTTGCTTGTATATTTTACCATTAACAATGAGACAGAAATTCTTCGTTTGTTAAGTTGAGCTTGAAGTTAAAACCCTGTCTCTATGAATACTAGAAATATCGCAACCTCAAACTGACTTAAGGTTGTTGTTGGTTAATTGTAAACTTAAATCAAAAAGTGTGCTTTGGTTGCAGCTGCAAGGCTTTGGCATGGGTCTGCTGCTCAACATAGATCCCAACCCGGCCAACTATGTATGCGCGGGCGTATTATACACCACCAGTGCTAACGTCGGAGTCCTGCTGAGGCTAGAGCCGAACCTACAGTCACAGGTATTGAATTAACCGCTGTTTTCATCCAAATCGGTGTAGTCGTAAAATTATTGATCACGGAGGTCAAAAGTATTGAAGTTGAAGTCGTAAAACTTAGAATCCAGAAAATTAAAAAACACCTGATCAATCAAATGAATCAATCTTTCCCAGCCATCAACAGTGTTTTTTTTAAATGTTAAGTTTATATTGTTTATTTTTTATACTGAACACGTGAATCCTGAATCCTTAGGCGAATGATTTCTCTCTGATTTCAGATGTACAGATTAACAGTCAGATCACTCAAATCTTCAGCTGCACAGGCTGTCTGTGAACTACTTGAGCCACACTTTTGAAACCCTCTTCTTTTCAATCCCTCTGCGAATTATTTCACGAGATAGCCAATGGCAAAATTATGACGTCATAATTAACTCTCCTCGGTCCTATTTCCAACTAGTCTGTTTTACGCAAGCGAGCCTATGTACTTCTGAAGTCAGACATTTTCAAAAGTTTGACGGCAGTTTTTGTTGCTACTTGCTTTTTATAGGTCGCAGGCTTTCAATTCAAGATGCTTACTTTAATTGCGGTTATGACAGTTAAATTTAATAATCTGTTCTTGTAGTGCTTCATCTCAATCAAGGCTCAATAAATTCTAGTGTGAGCAAAAATATACTCATAGATTTTGATTTTTTATTTCGTTCCAGAAATGGTTTCGATCTTCGTAATTATTGGTAAGTTCAAGACGTATATCTGCCTTTTACAATCAAATACGGTTTCTGATCATACGATAGAATTTAGCGTCAAAAAACGGACTCGGCTTCAATAACCAATCAGTTGTTGCGGCATGGCTATTCAAATTTCGACTGGTAAAAAGAGAGCTGGCTGCTGAATTTTTTTTGAATTACCTTGATCTACGCCTCATATATTGAATTGCAGATTTGACATTAATTTCAATTATCTCGATTAAACGTGAAGCCCAAAAATACTTGATAGAAAAAGCATTGATTTTTTCTGAACTATGATTCTTATTTGAGTGTGAAATGGTTCAATCGAATCCATTTTTTGCTTTTTGCTAAGACCGTGTCATACTACGCGTACGCTATATATGCAATGTACCATGCACATTTGAATGAATTTTTGTGTTTATTTATTCAATTCATTATAGCTGAGCTAATTGTTATCCCAAAATTATCACAAAAATCAAAATCCACAATTTAATGGCGCAATTGTATGTTACGATGATTTACCAATTGTTGCAAACACGGAAAACAAATCGAAGCAATATTTATATATTTTCACTGCAGAGGTAGTTTGTTGCCAGTATTGTTTATCTATAAATTAAAATGTTAATCTATTCTTTGTAGCCTTTTGAGACTGATTGTTACAATATTTATTTTGATCTGTTCCGACTCTTTCGGGAACATACCCAGGTTGATGCAGTTTTGCTCAAATGCCATTATAAACCCAGATATATATGCCTGATTGTGCTACAGTTATGATTCGGTATATCGCAAAAAAAATCCATTTTTCAATTTCTAGATACTGGCAATATCTTAGAAAAATTAGCTTGATCTGACAGTTTTTGGAATAAGACTCAAGATTACTTTTTATGATCTATCATGCGTGAAGTCGTGAAAAAAAGATGTGTTGAAAGGTGGAGCTTATTGAAGCCATTGTCACCCCAAACGTAATTTGACTTGCCCTGGTAAAAGTGGATAGGGTCTCGATGTCCAGAAATAAGTGAATGAAAGTTGACCAATAACGTGTATTAAGTATACCATGAGACGTAATTTTGCATCCTATAGATTGTATTGTATAAATCAAAATTGTTCTTCTCCATTTGAATATTTGTTTAGACTTAAATAAATTATGAATTGAAATTTTCTACTCTCGTCTCCGTTAAACATGTAAAGCGAAGTTTCATCTTGCGCGTAGTTTTCATGAAAGTTGACAATTTGGTTTAGTAGAATTTGAAATGTGTATATTATTTGGGACTCATGAATTTGAAAATTGATCAATTGTAATGCTGGCTATTGTTGTCGCAAGCCTTTACTTGCTACCGGTAGATGAATTCCCTTGCAATCAGCCGCTGCTTTCTATCCTTTTTTTTGCACCCGGGTAGTAATTGAATTTTTTCAGCTTAAGGAACAAACATTTATTGGCATATAGCAACAAGGATAGCCGGTTGCTGTGCAAGTAGCATAGACTGTTCCGACCATGCGATATTTTATTACAGATTTAAAAATTAAGAAACTTTTGTTTAATTTTTAGCTAGAGAGTTGAGAGTAAATTGGTTGAGTCTCAGTAATCAGTCCGTTACACTATCGGGCTTGCTAAAGTTTTGTCTTGGTATGAGCCTTCTTTTTTCCAAACGCACTCGCAAATAAACATGCTGATTTGGTGGCACTTTCGCTATAATTTCGATCTGTAGCCCTAGAAATGTTTATACCACCTGTTGTCTGCTTTATTTGTGGCTAGTGTTTGCCGATTGCTAAGCGTCCATGTCTGAGAGGTTAGGGCGTGAGATTCGGATCACAGGTTCGAGTCTGTCACGTGGCAGAATTTCTTAAAACTAATTCCAGGCTTAATTCGACCTATCTTATTTCACTTAATAGAGTTACTTTTTTGTCGTGGTTTCGCTAATGTTTACGAAGCGCAGCTGCGCCTCTTTGTAGAAGATATTTTCTGAAGTCTCAGAAGTTTTCCGTCTGAAATCTTATTAGTCTGAAAAACAAAAATTCGAACCAACTTTTCTCGACACCAGGAGACTTTTAAGAATCCGAATCACACTAATAGGGCTTTAATGTAATGCTTGACGCCATTTGAGCTTTCCTTGAGGTAGTCAAAATTGGCTGGACGAAAAACTCACCAAAAACGGAAACTTATCATAGTTCTTTTACACTCTTCGAGTGGTCGGAACAACAAGGTGAGGACTTCGACTCATTCAACATCGCATAAGCTTGCATCAAAAGAAGCTTCAAGAAAATTTTAAGCTCTGTGCAGCTTTTTTGGAAATTTTTCATCGCATCTGGAATCATATCTGTATGATATATCACTCAACACATTTGAAATTTGTTTGTGGTTTCTGGTTTTCGTCAAAGAATCTTAAGTTCCTCTTCTTTTTAAATGTACGAATAGCGACATGTGTTTTTGAAAAACTCCCTGGCAAATTTAATATATGTGATAATCGCAATGGATTTTCTCTGTTCAAGTGTTTTTAAAAGCAATGCGGTTTCTTTTTTAGGTCGTGTGCTTTTCTAGGAACAGTTAAAATGCGTTCATGCTCAAATTCGTTGAATTTTGAGAATGACATTTTAGTTTTTTAAGTGCGCTTCAATCCATTAGCTTGTAAGTTTGTAAGTCCTCATTTTGCATTAAGTTTGTAAGTCCTCATTTTTGGTGGGTTGAGTTAAGCAGCTCGTCTTTGAACTCCATTTTAGCCTGAACTAAGATTTTAATCTCCAATGTCGCTAAAACCTGCATAATGAGTATCGCGGGCGGACTGTTTAATTTCCTGGAAACTTAATTGTTTACAGTTCGTATACAATCCCAAAGGACAAAATACTCCAGGATTGAATCGCGCATAGGACCAAATCCCCCTAAAACAAAATCACCCCCCCCCCCCCCCCCGCAGTTGAATTAAACCACAAGGCGATTTCGGCAAACAATCAATTGATGAAAGATATTTACCAAAAACGAAGCCATTAGTAGAATTAAAATTAAAAACTAAAATTTCGAAGACAAATAAAGGCTTTGAGATAATCCAATTCATTGTCGTTGGGCGGCAGCGCGTACGATGCTCTTTATTCTACCAAAATTTTTCTTCTTTATTGAGTGTTTTTCCCTAGCTTCATTTGAGAAAAACTAATTGGTTGCAGTGACTGCTGCCTCTGAATGGCCTCAATATTGATTCATGTTTAAATAGAATTCAACTGGAATCAGTGGAAAAATCAAATAATAATGCTTTTAATGGATACAATTAAGTTTTCAGAATCTATTATATATTTAAATGCGGGCTTCACTATCTCGCCATGTTTAAGTTTTTTCAACGTATTATTTTTGCATGTTTAACAAAAGAATTCTTTCACGTTTAAGCTATCGTAAGCTATTGCAATGGTTAAGATTTTTTTTTCGATTTTCCTGTTTGAAATCAGTGTTTATTTCACCAAGTTTGAAAGTAGCAACCTCATAATGAGATGCTGTGAGGGTTTCCATGGATGTTGCGATTTCGGCCTCCATATATCAATAAGCAATTCGTTTAGGTTACGAGATACGGCAATTTTCGAGATTTTTCAAAAATTTCTAGAAAAATTGTTATTTTTTTAACTTTCTGAAAATTTGAAGTTCGCAACCCTTTAGTTGGGGGATGTCAGGGTAGTCTCATCAGGTGTTGCGAATCTTGCCTTCAAATCTTACTTCTCAAATCCTTGTAGTTTTCGAGATATGACGTTTTTTTTAATGATGTTTTCAAAATTTTCAAAAACTTAAGATTTTAAAAACTTTGAAGATCTCAATCCTGTAGTTGGAAACTGCGAGGGTACTCTCAGGAGTTGCGAATCTTGCCTCTGAATATGACTGCTCAAATGCTTTTAGTTTTCGTGATAGATTTAAATAGTTTCACAAAATTTGAAGTTCCCACTATGGCGAGGCTCTGTTAGGTTACTCCCAGGAGTTGTGAAGTTTCTCTCCAACTGTGACTGCTCAACTCTTTGTAGTTTTCTAGATCTGACAATTTTTGTTATTTTTTCAAAAAATTTTCAGAAAACTTTAATTTATTGTTTTTCTTCAAATTTTGAAGTTCCTAATGCCCTGTAGTTGGGGGCTGTCAGAGTACTCTCAGGGATTGCGAGAGATCTTGCCTCCAATTGTGGCTGCTCAACTCTTTTGTTTGTTTTCGACATTTGACGTTTTTTTTCTGGTTTTTTCAAACTTGAAATTCCCAACGCTGTGGTTGGATATTGTAAGAGCTCTCTCAGGAGTTTCAAATCTTGCGTCCAAATGCGACAGCTCAATTAGTTTTAGATTCCGAGATGTGATGTTTCTTAATTTTTCAAAGATTTTAAAGTTTTTCAAAGAACTTAGATTTAAAAAAAAACGATGGTTTTTAAAATTTTGAATTGAAAAAACTTGAATAGAATTTTTTTTTCAAAATTTGGAATTACCAACCTTGTATTTCGGTTCTGCCAGAGTACACTCAAAGGATGCTATTTTTTCCAGTATTTACAGTTTTTTATGAGTTGTTAAAAATTCGAAGCACCGGAGGTGCGTTACTCGCTTGTATTAATTTAAAGTAGGGGTTATATTTTCCTAGGGTGATTTAATCCTTTTGCGTAATTCATCCTGGGCCTCTTACCTGGAGGTTGTTTTCTGCCTACGAGTGGTAAATGAAGCCTATCATCGGGTTTTTGAAGTAAATTTGATCAATATCTATTAAAGTTCCTACAGAATTTTTCCTTAAAAATAATTTAGTTAAACGTGATTTATTGGCTCTTTTTAATCAACTTAAAAAAATGACCAAATTGTTTTGTTTAATTAGTCGTAATTGATCGCCGATGATTTTTAAATTGGCAGTGAGTTGGTTGATTTGTTTTTTCAGACTTTCTTTTTTAGACTTCATTTAACTATTTATACAGGCCGGCTAGCGCGTAGTGTTATATTACGAATCGATTTTTTTCTAAATTATTTCGCAAATAAAAGTGTTTGTGAATTCAAAAACACATGGTGCAGTTGTGAGGATTTGAGTCTATATTTTTAGTTGGATGTTCATTTTCGGCTTATACAAAAATTTATTTTTCAAGGCCTACATATATACCTTTTCTTTAATTTCACCTTTTGCTTTATTAGAGATATTTTACGACGTTTTTTTTCGCTTGTCTATGCGAAGTTCAGCTTCGCCTCTGTGTTAGCCGCTCAAAGTCGTAAGATAATTATGCACAACCAATTGTACAGATTAACCCAATTGAACAGATTAGCGCAACTGAACGTATTTTCTCTCAACTTTCCCTCGGAGACTGTCCATTAAGCATAATAACGTCCCATTTTCACACTTGCGATTAGCAAGCGTTATCAAACCGGAATATAGACTTTTTCGGGTTAACAACTTGGTTAACAGAATCACTTGGTACCTTGGTTCATAATGAATTCGAATAACTAAGTGTCTTCGGCACACTTAGTCTGGATGTAACTAATACGCTTGGGAAAGCAAAGGTCCTGAATTCGAATCTGAGCAGGGCCTGTTTTTCAAACGGGAAATATTCAGTTTCAAAAAATTGTCGGATTATGATTTGTCTACTTTAGTTTTGTTGGCTTAGTTGCCACATCTTAGAATTTTTTGCTGAATGCAGTTCCACTTCAGTTGCTTTTTATGTTTTCATTTACTCCTGCAGTTTATAATTCTACTAAACTTGACTCTTTTATTTTTCGGCTAATTAATTGTCTGCTTATCTGTTGTCGGCTTAATTGTCACAACTTGGAATCGTTCTTTTTGCTGCGCTCATATTTCTTTGATGTTGTTTTTAATGTTTGATTTACTTCTACAATTTTTAGTTTTACTTACCTTGACTTCGTATTCCTTTCTTTGTTTTCTTTATTTTGCGGGAAAAAAAATCGTCGGCCCAAATTATTTTGGCCTAACTTTTATCGGCTTAATGACCTAATTTTGGGTCATTTCAAGGGAAATACAGTTTTAACATTACCCTTCGCCTTTCTCAAGTTGGTTTTTTGTTCACCAATCGGTTTGTTGAAGTTTCTTTTTTCGTTATGAAAAATTATTTCCAAATATATTGGAAAATTTTAAGTTCTCAGAATTTTCAACTGATTTTCAAAAAACGGGTATCAGTTGGAAGACCGCCTACTCCCAGGTGTGCCTGCATACTCCTATCTAGTCTCTTTTTACTTAACCCCTCTGTCTACAGCCTTCGAAAAAGTCTATGGGGAATGTTTGACCCATATCTTTTTTTTTCGCGAAAACTACCTCTCTTAAATCTGAGTTTTTCGTTTCATTGAAGAGAACGGTTTTGGAAAGCTCCCTGCACAAGCGGTTACGCCCAAATTTTCTTTACACTTATTTTTATGGCCCTCGGAATAGTCAAGTTTTTGATTTTTGACCGTTTTGTGAAACCTTCTGGCTTTTCTCGAAAACTAGCCTTCAAATCTGATATTGTGGGCTCAATGGAATTATTGGGTACTGGGAAGCTCCCGTAATTTAGCGGTATCCTACAAAATTTTTTACTAAAAAAGTTATCGCTCTCGGAGAAGTCAATTTTTGATTTATGTCCGTTTAATAAACTTTTGAATATTCTCGAAAACTACCCTGACATATCTTAGATATCGGGTTCAATTCAAAGAACGGGTTGTGGTAAGCTCCCTTGCTTATTCCAATTCGCCCGATTTTTTCTGACACCAAAAGTTATGGACCCGGGACAAGTAAGTCAAATTTTTGATTTTTGACAATTTTTTTGTTTGAGTTTGTGACTTCTCGAGAGCTACGCTCCCAAGTCTGAGGTATTGGGTTCAAAAGAAAAAACAGGTTGCGTGAATGCCTGCTTTGTAAGCAGTTATGCCCTATTTGTTGACCTTTTGATAAACGTTGATTCTCGGAAGTCAAATTTTTGATTTGTTGACCTTTTTTGGACTTTTCTCGCTAACTATCCTGCCAAATCCGATATCATTGGTTTAATCGAAACAACAAGTTGTTGAAAGCCTAATTTCATAATTGGTTTTGCTTAGTTTGTATTGAAAAAATTATACAAAAATTATGGCCAACAAAGAAGTCAATGTTTTACAGCTTTGAGTTTTTTGGAAAGTTGACTTTCCATTTTGGAAACTTGACTTTCTTGACTTTGCGCAAAAAATACTGTGCCAATTCTCTGGCTGTGTTCAATCGAGAAACCCGGTTTTGGGAGTGTCCTCTGCTTTAGCGGCCATAACCTGCTTTTTTTGCAAAGAAAAAATTAATGGTTTTTGAACAGTCTTGAACGTTTTTAGAAGTTTTGATCGTTTTTCATCCGAGATGACAAGTTCAATTGAAAGAACCGGTTGCGATGATTGTTCCAGGAGAAGCGGAGACTTAATGTTTTGTAAAATATAGATTATCTATTTGGGTAAACTGATTATCTCAATTTTTTTACTCCTACTTATTTTAGCAGAGAAACAACTGAGGTTTGGGGCAAAGTCTAACTTTTGAAATCACATTTTTGGTTCACCGTCAGTATATCAATTTCGTTTAATATCAATTTTGGTTCACCTAGTTTTTTCAACGTTAATTTTTTTTTCTTCGACCTACTTTTTTTTCTAATGTTGTAATGTATCGCAAGTGGAGCAAAGCTCCGCATCGACTATGTGTGTATATTTTTTCAAGTGTTCCATTACAAATAATTTTTTGAAGCTTTTGTGCGGGAATCAATGTTCGGCTTAAGCCATTAGAGGTCGGGGATGTGATTGATTATAATTTCTGTGTTAGGAACTCAAAAGTTTTTGTTCCTAATTTTTTCCAAATTTTTGACCTATTACGTATAAAAACTACAAAAAATTATACGTGGCATCATACAAAACGCTATATGTACTGAATGAGACGTCACCACGTCCATCTTTTAAGTTACGGCTATCCTGATGAAATCTAACAGTCACTTTTTAATATTATAGCATAATTTTCTTGTTTTAAAATTGTGCTATAAAACTTAATTGGATGCTCTGTGATATTCAAAAAATCTAATCTGACTGCAAGCATTTTAAAAATTCCGTCTACATTAAGGGAAGAGTGAACTTTTCGAAAATTCGGAATTAAGTTTTTTAAAGTAGTTTGAAAAAAAAGGCTTTCAAAGATTTAAATTAAGTTCACATGTCTATGCATTGAGAGACTTAATGTTAAGTTCATTCAACTTGGAATACTCGGATATTTTTTACTCTTTTTCAATTGAACATTTTTCATTGTTTGAACAAATGCTCTTTTTATTTACTTTTTTGCTATTCAAGGAGTTTGTTTAAACAGACTAAACTTACGAACAAAATGCTCGCTTGTAAATGAAGATACAATAGTTTTTTTTCTCGCATCATTGCTGCTGTTGACTCAGTAACACTCAATGTTGGTAACACTCTTTTTGTTTTGGCCACTGTTGAATCAGTAACTTATCGTATTTTCAGATTTTATGATAAGCATAACGAAGTTGTGAACTTCGTCCGCCTGTCTAAAACACGCCATGTCTACTTAATTTTTGGTCACCGTTCTGCAAACACATCATAGTTCTTAAAACTTGTGCAATTAATGATCCGAGATCGAACGAAAGAGGATGGCAGATAGTCAAAATGGTAAACGTGAGTCATCGTTTTTAATATCACTATATTTCATTGTCAGAATAAATTCTCCGATAATTTCTCGAAATTAATCCTTCCGAAAAATTTAATTATTTTCATTCATTTTCTAGGAATTTTTGTCCGGTGTTCAAGATCTTAATGAAATCTAATTGAAATCTGTACAAGTGTGATGTTTGAGTGCCTAGAAAAAGCTAGCATGAAAGATTGGTCCTTTCGTTTCTATGAAAATCTATGAAAATTTTTTTAAAAAAACAATCCCAAAACCAAATTCCGGAGCGTTAAGTTTTCTCCAAGGGCCATCTATGTTTTAGGGACCCAATTTTTTTTTACTTGCTTCAACATCCGAATAGTCAGACATGGTTTAGAAAATTCAGAACGACGTTAAGGAGGTTGACACTCAAATTTTGCACCAAAATTAGTTAAATGCACAATGTATTTTCGGAAGCAACACAATCGTTTTTTTAAGTTTGAGGAAATTTGTCCAACCTGGGAAACAAATCAGAATTCATTTTTCGATGCCAATAATGGATGAAATCAGGCAGTTTAAAGGGCATCGATTGGTTGTGAATTTCCGAGAATTTGGTCTTTCGAGGATGATAAAAGTCTCCAAGTCTTGTTTTAAGCTGGGGTCTCAGGAAACTATCTGTTTAAACTCGAATTATTTGGGTTGTGTCAGATAATGGACTGATGCCACAGTGCAGTGATGAGGGGGTGGAGGTGGCAGAGGAAGCCCTGGACACGATTAGTCACTCCAAAGAGAGGGGTGTGTGGGGTACAAAGGCAGAGTTCATATTGTCCTGTGTCGGATTCGCAGTCGGACTTGGTAATCAATTCAGACATTTTTGAACTTTTCAGATTAAGTGGTGTAAATTTTAATTAGATCGAACGAGTGAGTATCAGCTTAAAAAAGTAATATTAAAATGAAAACCGGAAAAAGAGAAAATTGAAAACTGAATACCGATTCGAAAGTATCGTCGTTCTTTTTATTCAAGCAAACTGGATTTCTCTAAATCGGTAAGTTTCAGTTTTAGTAACTCAGGATCAAATGATTGCAGGTCATTTAGAGAGCACATTAGAAGTACTGTAATGACCTAAGTGAGTTGCATGCAAACCCGTTGATATGCTAAAGAACATTTCGAAACGAACTACCATAAATCTATTATGACATGAATGTCCGACAATTACGTAATACCGGATTACGTCTCCTTGTTGAACTTAAATAATGTTTGTTTCTGAACTAATGGTTGCTAATGTTACGTAATTAGTTTCTTCGCTTCTAGGAAACGTAGTTCGCTTCCCATACGTCTGCTATGAGTCGGGAGGCGGCGCCTTCCTCATTCCCTTCTGTGTGTTCCTCGTCATCGCAGGGATCCCAATGTTCTTCCTAGAACTGGCAGTCGGTCAGTTTTCCAGCTCCGGGCCAATTACAGTGTGGCGATGCGCACCTCTAGTTAGTGGGCTGGGCTACTGTGTATGCTGTATTTGCTTCCTGTTGACGTTCTACTATTCAGTGATAGTTGCATGGTGCATGTACTACCTCTTCAATAGCTTCAGTTCCCCCCTCCCCTGGTCTCAGTGTAACGACGACCCTAGGTGCATCGGGGTCCCCTGTGGATCAAATGCAACGGATAATTCCTCAGTCGACTGTAAAGAAGCGCAGATGTCGCCAGCGGCTCTGTTCTATTTCAAAAATCTACTGGGCATCACTACATGTAAGTTCATTTTCATCTTAACACTTTGGAAGCAAAGTGTATTATTATGAGTTTTCCCTTTTTTCCAACATAAGTCGCAAATAAAAGTGCTATTTTTGGTAGACGATTGAATCGTTAGGCTCCGGTAGCAGTATAATATCATATGTGCTTTGACATTTGATTAGTAAAAAGTTAACACCGCTGATGCATTTTTAATTCATCAAATGAACCAGAACAAGTGATTTGTTTCAAACAACATAACAATACGGAAAACTCGATTTCAGAAATTTTCCAACTCAATTTATCTTTTTTTTTCTGTACAAGCAGTTTTATTAATAAATCTCTTAATTTAATCTGCCAAAAATACTAATTTAGGTCCATATGAATGACATGAAATTTTTTATCTACCTTAACGTGATCCATATAGGACATTTACACAAGCCCACCACTTTCGTCATCAGCGAAACTAAAAGTGCAGGTTCAAAATAAACATAAGAAATTGTCACGGAACGAAGTGAAGACACTTGTTTCGGTTTAAATGTTTGTTTGTTTTTTGAATTGCTCACAACTTAATTGGTTTTTTCGCTCAAATTTCATTTTTGTTTCTTTTTCAATTCAAGCTCATTTGCTAATTGAATTGCAAATTACGCTCTGCGATAACGAAACTCCAAATGAACTCTCAAATGTGACTACTTTTATCGAAAAGTGTGCACGATAAATGTTATTGGAGCTCAAAGAGCCTCAAGATGATGTTTTTCTACAAAATACGAAAATTAAAAAAGAGAAAAAATAGCGTTTTTTTGGTTCCTGGAAATTGTTGACACTTTTCCAACTGCCAGCTTGTTGGCCATGTTTTTGCTTTAAAAATTCGGTGTCAGCTATAGACTCAGGAACTGAAAATTGAATGAGTCAGTTTTAAAACTGAGCTGCTACCATGAATAATTTCAGTGGAACGATAATTTAATCGGATCGATTTTGTTCTCTTTAGCGATCGAAGAGGTAGGCGAGTTCCAGTACCACATTGCAATCTGTCTCTTTCTCACCTGGCTTCTCATCTTCCTCGCCCTAATCAAGGGCATCCACAGTCTGGGCAAAGTGGCTTATGTCACATCAGTGCTGCCCTACATCCTTCTCACAGCCCTTCTCGTATTCTCAATAACCTTACCCGGTAAGACATAACTTCAATATTTGAGGAGTGAACAATTTTTACATAATTTGCATAATTTATCTCAGAAAAAAACCCATTTTGTAAAAACAGCAAAAAGACCCTATAGAATGGTGTCTTCAGCAGCAAAGAATTGAACTTACAGTTTGTTTTCTGACTACCAAAAGAATTTATTTAGATAAAGTGATGGATCAAAAAGAAATATTTTTTCCTTCAAACAAATATTATACATAGTTTTTCCTCGTGAAACAGTTTTTTCTTGTTTATAGTTATGTTCTTTGAAAATTTTTTTTTCGTATTTTAGGTAGTGGAAACGGAATAATTTACTACATCAAACCCGACTTCGCTAAACTAGCCGACCCTGTGGTGTGGAAAAGCGCGGCGTCCCAGATTTTCTTTTCTTTCGGGATCGGCTGGGGATGTTTGATTGCGTTTTCCAGTTACGGCAAGTTCGACAACAACTGTCTCAGAGACGCAGTGCTTGTCAGTATTCTGGACTGCGCTACCAGTATATTCGCTGGTTTTGTCATCTTCGCAATCATTGGATTCATGGCACATGAACAGGTATTTAAGACTTTGGTTAATTGGCTCTTTTCCAGTTTCCCATCCCCCTTTGATATTTTCTGAAATTCAATAATGAAAGTCTTTTTAAAATGTCTTTTTATGTAATAAACTGCGTGTAACACTTGTATATTATATTTTCTCGTGGCGAGTTGCGTGTTCTTATTGAGGATTTTGACTGGAATACGTAATGAAGGAACTCCTGACTGTAACCTCGGTTACTATGATACTTTTGACCTTCTGATTACCTCAATAAACGCGTTAAAAGGTGGCAGCGTGAACAGGCGAACAAATTTGTACAGCATTTTTGACATTTTTTTAATATATGAAGTTAGTGTTCACTTTGTGCGATTGTCATGACAATTGACACGCAGACTGATTAGGCCATGACAAACATATTTGGTCTTCATAATTAACCTCAATAAAAACAACTCGTTAGACCATAAAGTTCATGTTTTGAGTGAGGTGGGGGGGAGGAAAAAGTGTCCAATTTTTGAACAGTTGTATTTTGTAATTTTTCGAGGGGGTGGGAAACTGGAAAAGAGTCGGTTAATTTTAAGAAATGGTTAATTTTAATTTTAAGTCTTAATTGTTTCTTTAGTTCAAGAGTCAAATTTTATTTTATTTATCAAGGGCCAACGAATCAGGACAATATTTTACGATTTTACCGCCTTTTCTTGTAATTTTTGAGACAATCCGTACCATAAAACAGGCAAGTGTTTTGTTTTTTGATTTGTGCATAGCACAGCACCCGAAATGCATACTTTATTGATATAATCTTTCAGTCAGGGGCAGATCTAGGATTTTCTCGAGGGGGGGGGGGGCAGATTTTCAAAAGACTTTTTTTTTTAGCTCGCTTTTTTTAGCTCGATTTTCTGAGCTCTCCCAAAGCAATAAAAAGGACCATGTTTCGGCCAAATTTTGTGCGCCGCAGGCAAAATTTTGAAAAAACAGGCCTTAAAAGGCGGTTTTTGCACTTGTTGGAAAATTTTGACCAAAAAAATGCGTTTTTTCGGCGCGCGCTTCCCCCAAAAATTTTATGTATTGGTGCCGAAGGCGAGCTTAAAATTTTTAGGCCCCGTCACCAAAATGGATATAGTACCCATAGTACAAAGGATGAACCCTTTGGGTCGGCAAGGGGTCGAATCCTTGAGGGGGGCGTCCGTCCCCCCCTTTCTGTAAATCCGCCCCTGCAAATTTTTAATGAAAACTTGAATTTCCTAGCAAAAAGTAAATTGAAATTGCTGATTTTAATCCCGGTTGCTGGTCCTGAAAATGAGACCCGAGCCTGTTCCGGCAAGTAAAAAGCCCGGGCCCGGTTACAACTCTGGTGATTACGTCTCCGCCTTTGAATCGAAAGGTCATTTGTTCGAGGCCCACAGTGATCTGTGCTAGTTGCTTGAGGGCCAAGAAACTTTACCGAGCCCAAAACAGTAACCAAAAGCAAAACGCATGTAATTCGCATCTAGGGGTAGAGAAGTGGTTCTGCAAGCAGCTGAACAGCTCTCGTATTGGTCCTTTCCCCCGTAGATAACTCGCCGTAACGTTGTTTAACCCTAGAAATGTTGACGATTGTCTTTATGATCACACTTGGATGTAATGCTCAGAGAATAATTAATTTTTAAAAATTTTAGTTTCGAGTCTTCTTATGCAGATTCTTAGAGGCTTCTCGTGATTCTCCTTGACAAGCTGAAAAGCTCAAACTTCGGGCCTTAACGTGAAGAAAAAAGGCATTTAGATTAATCGATTTAATTCCAAATGATGTTTCAGGGAACAACTGTGGGTAGGGCAATTGAGAATAGCCCTGGACTCGCTTTCGTCACCTACCCGACCATCGTGAACGAAATCAAGTTCCCCCAAGTGTGGGCAGTACTTTTTTTCGTCATGCTTATAGTCCTCGGAGCCGACACTCTTTTCGCACTCGTCGAAGGAGTGGTGACTGCAATTTGCGACAGATTCCCTCATAAATTGAGAACCAGAAAGATGTATGTTACCCTAGCCTATTGTTTGTCCAGTCTATTCTGTGGCATTTTTCTCTGCTTCGGAAACGGACTATACGTTTACACTCTGTTCGACAGCTTTGTGGCAAGTATCAACCTCCTAATCATTGGAATTCTGGAGTTAATTATAATCAGTTGGGTTTACGGCGCTGATCGATTCATAGATGACATAAGCTTCATGCTGCAGTATGATGTAAACAGGTTCTGGAAATACGTCTGGCAATTCGTTTCTCCTCTATCTCTTCTCATAGTTTTAGTCCTGAGTTTAATAAACTACTCTCAAGCGACAGTTCAAACTCTATACGGGACCTACACGTACCCCTTATATTGCGAGTGTATAGGTTGGGCCATGGTTATTCTGCCCTTCTTCTTTATACCCTGCGTTGCGATTTCAAAAGTGTCAGCAATTGAAGAAGGAACACTTAGGGAAAAAGTGGAAAAGTTACTCAAGCCGGATCTAAGCTGGGGTCCGAGGAATATCGATGACTGGGTGCGAGATCGAGAGAGGAGACCGGAATTATATGAAAAGAACGACAAGTACACAGATTGTATCGAAACGAGTGCTTAATATTTATCTTATCATAATAAGAGTGTCATCTTTGATCTTGACTTTTATTTTCTATCTAGATTCTTATCGGACTGGCATCCATTATCAGTTGTCTGTGAATAAAGGCAAGTGAGTTTGAAGTATCTCTGTTCAGTGAGCCAATCAATTTTAAAGTCAAGGTTATTTGGTGATATATTACTTCAATATATATTTTTGATTGGGGCTTCTTATGCATTTTTATTTTTCGTTTGATTATTTTTTTTGCGATTTTTTGCTATTTCAGTTGTTAATTGTATAGGTTCGATTCCTACTTAAGGGTTATGAAATAATGCTTTATGTTGAGAGAGATTCCAAATTATCTTCAATTGCCTTATATATGAATTAATTATTGGAGGACATGAATTGAAATGGCTGATAAGAATTGGAAAACATTGCTTCAACATTTCGTTTTCTAAAACTAGTTAGAAATCTTAGGGATCTCTTCCTATGTCGGTCTGCGTAGTTCACTAGTTAGTATTAGGAATGAAGTTAGACCAAGGTCATGGGAAAAAAAGGAGAAAAATGAAATAACAAATGATTAGTTTTCTGTGGGAGGGAAAATGAAAAATTAGGTTGGATCAAGGGTTGTTCAGAATTAGATGGTGAGGGAATAATTGTTTATAGTAAGTAATCAAAGGCAGATATGTCGGGCGCACTTCCGTGACATTTAGAAGTGAAATATGTTTCTTCTCATTGTCCTGAAGACGTTTACAATATTAAAAGAAAAAATAACCTTTAAAGATGCTCAGTTGCAGTGGTCAAACAATGAGTTATATAGAGAGTGTTGCTAAAATTGATTGAAAGGAATATGAATAATAACAAGTTTTAATCTCTTTGACAAAAATGATTGATTGGAATCTGTAGTAAATGCCCACTCAATGTGAAACAGCTGTCCAATTGCTCCTGCAGATCAATCGATCTCAATACCACTGTCGCTGGATTGACCCTTTCCTTGTACCTGGACACCTTAGCTGGAAAAGCGAGAGAGCTCAGCTCCCCTTGAGACTGATTTAGTGTAACGGAGAACGCTGACCTCACTCAGCAGCGAAGCGTGACATTCAGTTCAACGAAGTCCAAATTCGAAACTATGTTCAAAAACCATGTTCAACACATGTTTTCCATATTTCAGTGGGCAAAGAACAATCAGCTATAGACGCGCCAAATCTAGCGAATATAAATTGTAATTCCCTCTGAAATTAAATGCCAGATTGAAAGAAGCTCAAATTATGAAGAAACAGACAAAAATAGTAGCGTCTCATTTGCCGTCGAAAAATAAATTCGTGCTCAAATGATGAAAAAATTTAGGAAAAAAAATACATCAGTTTTACAGCTCTAAAAGCGGCGTAATGTCAGGTAAAAAAATAATGGTGGTGAAGTAGCTACTCACTGTTTTGATAGCATTAATACGACGCGTCTTTGCTATTACTAATTATGTTCACGCAAGCTACTCTGGTGTTATAATACGAGCCGACCTCTTTTCCCAAAAATGGTCGCTCACTTTTGAGCTAAATTTAACGTACTCTGTAGTTTTAGTCCTAACTGACTCTAGCTGCACCAAATTGCGTTCCTTGCTGTCTAATATTCATTAAAAACGAGTGTGTGAAAAAGTTTACAAGCCTTCTACTAATAAATTGATTGTCTATCGGTAGGTGTCTTTTATGTCCTCAGCGGTCACCTGTTCTTTTTAAATTTGAGAGAGCTTGTGTCTTGTAATCGGGAATCTTGGAATAGAGTTTTCCCCATAACCAACCTTTTACAAATCTGAGAAATTGATGTTGCCTCTATTATTGAACCTTAAAAACGTTCAGCCTTCTTGGTCTAGAGGCAACGCGGTTGCATCTTCAGCTCTGGTGTTCGGGTAGTTGGCCGGACTTCGTTTTTTTTTTCAGTATCTGTGAATTGTTTCTTGGAAAAATAGAATTGTCGGATTTTTGTTTGTCTGCTCATGTTTTGTCGGTTGCTAAAATGCTCATGTATTAACGGCTAAAATGCCAAATTACGGATTTTTTTGCTATGTAAGCAATTCTCATTGCAGTTGCAAACGTTGTTGATTTATTCCGGCAATTTGTAAATTTACAAAATCTGACAGTATATTTTCTTTTTTTTTAAATTTTTTTTCAGTAGTTTCTTATTTTGGATTAGAATATTTTTTCTGTTTTTTTTTTGGATTAGTCGACTTATTTTGTGTCGTTTTAATAGCACAAAGCGTTTATAATTTAACAATTGTTTCAGGTCAGCTGAGGTGACGGTATATTTTACTTTTTGATTTTTTTTTCACTTCATTTTCATGCAGCCATACTATTTTCTTTCTGTTTTTTTTTGGATTAGAATAGTTTTTCTTTCTGTTTTTTTTTTGGGATTAGTCGACTTATGTTGTGTCGTATTAATATCACAAAGCGTTTGATAATTTTACAATTGTTTCAGGTCAGTTGAGGTGTAAAACCTCAAAGCTTTAAAACTTAATCGCTATAATCTATCTATTATATATTTAAATTCGGGCTTCACTATCTCGCCATGTTTAAGCTTTTTCAACGTATTATTTTTGCATGTTTAACAAAGAATTTTTGCATGCTTAAGCTATATCGTATATTGCAATGGTTAAGATTTTTTTTCGATTTTCCAGTTTAAATTCAAGGTTTATTTCAAGTTTGAAATTAGCAATCCAATAGAAGGATGCTGTCAGGGTTTTTCAAGTTTTTGCGATTCTGGTCTCCATATATGAATAACCCAGTCCTTTAAGTTTCCGAGATACGACAATTTTCTAAATTTTTCAAAAATTTCTAGAAAATTTAATATTTAAAAATTTCTCAATTTTAGAAATCATCACCCTGTACTGTCAGGGTACTCTCAGGGGTTGCAAATTTTGCCTCTGAATACGACTGCTCGAATCCTGGTAGTGTTCTAGAATTGGCGTTTTTTAAGGATTTTTAAAAAAATTTCAGAGAACTTGGATATAAAAATTTCGCAAAATTTGAAGTTCACATCTCTATACTGAGGTTCTTTCGGGTTGCTCTCAGGATTTGCAAAATTGGCCTCGAAATATGACTGCTCCGAACCTTGTAGTGTTCCAGATATGACGTTTTTTGTGATTTGTTCAAAAAAGTTTCAGAAAACTTAATTTTTTTTTCTTAAATTTGAAGTTCCCAACTCTGTAGTGGGGGATGTCAGAGTATTCTCAGCTTTTCAGGGGTGCGAATCTTTCCTCCAATTATGAATGCTCAAATCTTGTTAGTTTTCCAGATATGACTTTTTTGTGATTTTTCGAAAATTTTTCCGAAAACTTAAATTAAAACTCTTATTTCAAAATTTGAACTTCCTAACCTGCAGTTGAAGGCTGTCAAATTAATCTCAGGGGCTGCGATTTTGGCCTCCAATTAAGAATGCTCAAATCTTTTTAGTTAACGAGATACGACAATTTTTGTAATTTTTTTCACAACCTTGTAGTGGTGTTAGCTGTCAGAGCACTGTCAAATCTTGGTAGTTTTCGAGATGTGACGGTTTAGCTGCTTTTCAAAAAGAATATATCTTTTTTAGAAAACTTAAGCTTGAAGTTTTTCAAAAATTGAAAATCCCATCGTTGTTATTGGGTACTGTAGGAGTAATCTCAGGAGTTGCGAATCTTGCGTTCAAATGCGACTGCCCAATTGCTTTTAGTGTCCGAGATGTGACATTTTTTAGTTAATTTTAAATTTTTTCAAAGACCTTATATAAAACATCACAAAGTTTTATGGTTTTTCAAAATTTGTATTAAAAAACTTTGAAAATTTTGCTAAATTTGTAGTAACGAACCCTCTAAAGGTGCTGTCAGAGTACATTCAAAGGATGCAGATCTTATTTCCAATATATGCGGTTTTTTGTGAGTTAATAAAAATTCGGAAGTGCCTTACACGCTAGTTTTTTTTATGATAATCGAATTTCTTATGGCATTGCTGATGGTTTCCGACTCAATGGGCTACATACGTATTGTCGGCTTAATGTCTACTCGGTTAATACTAGAAGCTTATAAAATGCTGCTGTTATCTGAAAATAAATTTTTCATTCTTTGAAAAAAAAAATCCAACCCTTTTTTGAAACTTGGATATTTCTGTCTCAATTTCTAATCGTTAGCGTGCACGTAAGTTGTATCGCAAGTGATGCGATGCTCCACTTTGCCTCTGTCGAGATTTTTGCTTAATCAGCTTGATTTTTATCGGCTGATAGTTTTGGTTGCCTATTGTTTCCTCAATAACAGGAAATAAGATTTTTTCAACGAGTGTGCCTAGATGAGAGCATCTAAAAATTTCAAATTTCAGACATAAGGCAGATGAAAATTTTTCCTTGAGAGCGAAGTGAGTTTAACTGTTTTGCTAGTTTGTTAAATGACGTTGCTTGAACTGCTTTTGCTTAAAGCTTGCAAAGAGCTTGAAAACTTTAAGTATCTTCTTTGAGCATTAAATAGTAAATACACTTGAGTCTTGCATATTGTGATGTTTATTCTTTTGTGACAACCCAGTGATGCGAATTTCAGCTTCTATTTTGTGTTGATGTTTTACGGCGCGGAAAATTGTAATTGAAAATGATATCTTTCGGAGTTCAGGAAAGTAGAAACGACTGATTAAGAAAAAGTATAAGTGTTCTTGGAAAACCATCGAGAAGTCTCTTGAATTCATACGTATTATAAACGATTCACAGTTTATGAATGAGTGATTAATCAATGGCTTCGGTCATCAGCGCGATGTTTTTTCGGTCAAAGTCCTGTTTTTGACTTTGACTTCTGCTCGCCCAAGTATCCAATTACAATGCACATTTGAACGAACTCATTGAGCTCAAGTTGAAAATGCCTTCTATTATAACAGTTAGAAGAAAATAGTAGGAAAAATAGTATTATTTCTAATTTCAGCAGTTTGTTTAGTCCTGTATGCTGGTAGCGGAAAGATATATTACCTGATAGTTTTTTGAAGAGAAGAAAAAACCGTCTGGTACACATTTCGAGTCCTTGTTTTTCTCTGGTGTGATTTTTTCTGAAGTAAAACGGTTCTAAATCAACGCGGCGGATCTAGGATTTTCTCGAGGGGGGCGGATTTTCAAAAAAGTTCGCAAATTTTGTCAACTTTTTTTTAAGTAGACCAATTTGATTTTCTGAACTCTACCAAATCACTATAAAGACCCTATTTTGACCAAATTTTCTGCACCGCAGGCGAATTTTTGAAAAAAGGTTTTTAGGCATTTTTTCAAAAATTTTGACCAAAAAATTTTAGGGTCCGTCAGCAAAAATGGATATCTCAAAATAGTATATAGGGGGACCCTTAGAGTTGGCAGGGGTCGAATCCCTCAAGGGGGAGCGTCCTCGAGCCCCCTCCCTAAATCCGCTGGTGAAATCAACCCTTATCGATCATCCGTGAACTAATTTCAGGTTGAACTTTTGTTTATTTAAATTTTGTTCAGTTCCAGACATGCTTTGTTTGCTTGAACGAATTTTGAATCACTGGACCTGACGTAGGGTTTAGGGTATTTGTCCTCTAACATTTTAACAAACTAAAGGTCACGAACTCATTGGCTGAGCCCTAAACTATAACGACGCTTATGAGATATTTACTTACCATTAAACAATTGAAATTCTAGAACTAAAATATCGACTCAGTTTACTTGCAATTGATTACACGCCGCTTATATCATATGGTATATTTTTGGTTCGAGATAAACCTTGAGAACGCCCGAAACCATTTGTCTGCTGACATCAGCGTAATTTGCACAACTCTCGTTTTATTTGACGGTAGAAGGTTGTTTTGAGTTAAGTATTTGTCCAACTCATGGTTGTGTCATTTCAGATTTGAAGTTATGAGAAGTCGTACGGCGTCTTTTCTAATTTTGCTTCTAAAGTTCAAATATTTAGTTACGAAGTTTTAGTTTTTAATTACAAGTATAATGACAAAAACAAAGTTTGATGCTCTAAACGCGGTGGACAATCTGCCGCCCCCAGGGACCCCGGATTACCATTTGTCGTTTTCTGGATGTGGGTTCCAGGGATTGTACCATATAGGAGTGGCATCTTGTATCCAAAGACATGCACCCTATCTGTTCAATGGAAAAGTTGCCGGTTGCTCAGCGGGAGGACTAATCGCCGCCTGTGCCGTATGCAATTGCAGGTTTGCAAAAATTTTGAGGGAAACGTCTATTTGCGTTCTCATATGTGGAAAAATTGTAGAAAAAACGGAAGCCAAGTTTTTGTTTAGTTTTTGCCTTATTAAGTCCTTGAACGCATACGTAAAATTTTTATACGGATGATTATTTCATCAAACTAAAATTTTGAGAATTTCATGCTCAATAATTTCATGCCAGTTGACGCTATCTGAAGTGTTTGAATTCAAAAAGACAACAAAGCTGTTCATCAAGTAGTTGAAGTGTTTTTTTTCTATTAGACAAATGATTTCAGACTAGAAGACGCCACGACGTGGTCATTGGACATGGTTCGCAAAGCCCGCGCCAGGACATTCGGACCCTTCCACCCGACATTTGATCTGATTGGACTGCTACGAAAGGGAGTGAGCGCGTTTCTCCCTGAAGATGCACATATAAAGTGCAGTGGGCGGTTGCACCTTTCTTTGACGACCCTTCCAGATCGGAAGAATAAAATTGTGAACCAGTTTAGTTCCAGAGAAGAACTGATTAATGCTCTTGTGTGTACATGTTGGATCCCACTATTTGCGGGGATAATTCCGCCAACGTTTGAAGGGCAAAGGTACATTGATGGAGGTTTCACGTGTAACTTGCCGGAGATCGATAATAATACCATAACTGTGGCGCCGTTCTGTGGCGCTGCGGATATTTGTCCGTCCGATGATGGTCATACATTCAATTATATCAATGTGACAAATCTGAGGATGGAGCTGACAGCTGAGAATGTTGTGAGGTTCGCGAGGATTTTCTACCCACCGAATACCAACGGCGTGTTGAATGATCTGTGCAAAAGAGGCTATAACGACGCGTTCAAATATCTTCAGACTCATAAACTATTTTCTTGCCAACAGTGTCTCAACTCAAGCATGACTTTGTTTAATTTGGCCAAGTTTCCAAGAAGGAAAACAACCGATCAGTTGAAGCGACAATTGGCCCCAAGTGCACAAAGCATTGCAGTAATGCCAATGGTTCCACGGAAAAGGACAAACTCACGCGAACAGATCTACGTCGGAAGAAGCCTTACCCGTTTGAAACGGAACTCCCTGAGTAAAGCCAGTCATCTCTCGTCAAGTTCGCAGCAGAACAACACGGACGACGAAGGGTTCTGCGAGAACTGTCCCGAATGTCGTCGCATCAAAGACGAAGAGAATGCCATCTTGCCTGAACAAATTGTGACCTTACTGCAAAACTTTACGATGAACGAGACATTATACAACCAGATTTGCGAATACAAAATAGTCCAGTTTATAGGACTCATAACACTTCCAGTTAGGCTCCCTCTTGAAGCAATTTACTGTACTAGTAAGAAACTCTACAATTGGCTCCCAGAAGTCTCAGACGACTTCAGTTGGTTCGTTTGCTCAATCAACTCAGCGGTGAAAGAATTAATGGCAAAAACGGGAACAAATTTGTGCTTTGCTCGTCTCCATTTAGAACTTGTGAACGTCGAAGATCCGCCTCCTAGTAATAGCAGACCTTTGAGCTATTGTTCTATGCACTCGAACCCTGCAAGTCGCAGATCTTCTGTTTCATTTGAAGCGTTGGAGCAATTCAGAGCTTTCGCTAGCCGGAATGAATCAGTTGCTTCGATGAATGACGGGGGAGACAATTCAGGGGAAACGCCACATGAAAATGAAAATCGCAGAATGTCTTTTGATTTGACATTTGGAGTGTCAAACATCACCTGTATGCCTTCAGGTTCGCCCAAGTTCGAAGCTATGGAAACTTACAAGACGATAAGTTACCCAAGTGAGTCGAACGACAAACCGAAAGTAGTCGTGGAACTCATGTCTCCAACAGGTTCCGAATGTAACTTGGCACAGGACGATGAAGACGATCTGGAGAACTCCGGATACAGTTCGGATGACGTCATATTTTTCGAAACGAATGTTCCAAAAAATGAACCAGAAGAGAAAACGGATCAACTGGACGACGATGAATCGACGGAGGATAGTTCGACGAGTTTTGACGTGGTTACCGAGGGATCTGTCTTTTCTGCTCTGAAAGCAACAGAAGTGCAAGTGGAAAATGAAATGCTTGGCAGTTGTGAGGAAAACTGAACTGAACTTCAAAAGTTTTTAAATAGCTTAGACGTAAGGCTAATTTACTATTTTGGACGAGGGTCCTTCATTAACTATTTATTTGTCATTAATATCAGTTATTTTTTTGACTTACCGAATCAAAGGCTACGTTTAAATTCTTATTGCATTATATTTGGTGCCATTTTTATTTGGTTTTAGGAGTAACTTGAAAAATTTGTCGTTCATTTAACTGATTTTATAATAGGAAATAGTCTATTTTTTAAATTTTGATTTCTCCTTTAGTTTTAGATTACGTGGAATTGTGCTGTCACGATTTTGGTTAATATTTGTGTTTACAAAACATTACAATAGAGAAGTGATTTCAAAGTTTCTATGAAATTATTAATGAATTAAATGGCTCCTTAGAGTTACGAAGAAAATTCATGATTCTCAATTTCTGTTTTGATTTTAATTTGAAAGTTACTTTCTGGTCAATAAATTTGCTATTTTTATATGCCTCTTTTGCTGTAGATTCATGAGATTGTAGGCTTAAAAACGTCAAATATTTTGCGATTAGCAAGCGTTGTCAAATCGGAATATATATATATATACTTTTTTCGTGTTAACAATTTGTTTAACAGAATCACTTGGTATCCTGGTTCATACTGAATTCAATCTTCTAAGCTTCTCCGGCACACTTAGTCTGGAGGTAATGATTACGCCTGGGACAGTAGCGGCTTCGAATCTGAGCAGGACCTGTTTTTTCGGCTTAGTTGCCACATCTTGGAATTTTTGAGATATGCAGTGTTTATTAGAGTTGCTTTTTATGTTTTCGTTTGCTCCTGCAATTTGTAATTCTACTAGCCTTGACTTCGTACATATATAAATTTCGTTTTCCGTTTTTGGCTCTCTTTTCTTTTCCTGTCTGCCAGGTTGCAATGCTATTTTTGTTGTATCGCTTCGCCTGTCATTAATATTGAACCCTTATCCTTCGCGTTTGGCATAGTGGTAACGCCGTTGCCTTTGTTGCATCCTAAGGTCTGGGGTTCGCGTCTCGGCCGGAGCTTGTTTTTTTTCAGTTTGTATGCAATTGAAAAAATTTTTGGTTACAATTGAATTGTCGGACTTTCATTGGTCTGCTCAAGTTTTGTCAGTACGTTGCTACATCACTGATTATTCCTGTGCTGTAATTAACGTTCGTGGCTAGTGCAAATATTGTTCATTCTAGTATTAGGGGAGAACTTGGAAGATTCAAAATTTTTTCTTCATAAATTTTTTTTTCGCCTCAACTGGTGTCTGCTTAAAAATTGTTGGCTTAGTTGCTACATGACTGACTGATTTTTCTTGTGCTGTAAGCAACTTTCACTGTACTTACAAGTGCAAGTGTTGTTCCTTTTAGTTTCAGGTGGGACTTAAAATCAGGTTCGATTTTTTGTAATCATGTTTTTTTTTGTATCAACTTGTTTGCTTTAAGATTGTCGACTTTGTAAGTCTTGTTCCATTGCTAGTTTAGTAGTCATTCTTCTGGGATCTTTGGCTGGAATGATTTTATGGAGAAATTCAAAACTTAGAAGACCTTTGAAGATATTTGATGAACTGTTTTTTTCATAACTTAATTTTTTTGGATTGTTTTTTACTTGTTTCCGCTTCGCCTCTGTTCATATTCTTCTACAAAATTTGAAATTCTGTTGCACACATTTTCAGTGTTTATTTTGAGTTGAGTTTAGGCGAAAGATAACTCTTTATCCAGCTCTTGAGTTGTTAAGTGTTAATGAACGAACTGGTTAATCATTTATAAGTCTTGTTGATATTTTTCTCTGTTCATTTGAAGAAAAATCAAAAGTCAAATCGCAAAAAAAAATTAAATTTACAAGTTATCAAAAAAGGAAGGCAAATAAGGATGTCTCAAAATAGGACTTAAATTTTCCGAATTTATAGTGCTAAAAAATCCCATTTACCTTATTTTCTCTAATTGGGTTAGCTATATGAAAAATTTGTCCATTTTGAAAGGATCTCGAATATCAGAGAACTTCCAAGTGGCATGTTTTTTTACTAAAATCTAAAACTGAAAAATTAACCTTAAAAATTAAAAAGTTAGCTGCGATGTTGTTGCAAATAGTTTTTTTAAGTAATCGTTATAAAAAAGAACGTGCACTTTTGAATTCCAGTGTTAGACTCGTGCAAATTCAGTTAGGACCAACCACATTTTGAAAAACTGGAAGAAACTTCTTTATGCGCAATCAGTTGTTAGATTTGACAACAATTTTCAAAAAGTCGTTCCGCGAAACTACATGCATCGAAAACAGCTTAGTAATAGTCGCATTTCAAGCGTTTATTTCAAATTTTGCGTTTCCAGGTATAATTTTGTCTGAATCTAGAGTTTTTTACATGACCCGCAAATTGACTCAAGGCGTTTTTAATCTAAGAAAAGTTTTTTTTGCTATTTTTTACGGGCGAGGTCTTAGCTAAAGCTAGTAGCAATGAATTATCCGACCGCAATATATCTTGCAAAATTTTAAAAATCAATAGGTTGGTGTGGGCTAAAAGAAGGCATGGAAAATATGACGACGCTCGACTATGTTAATAAAATGGTTAAAACTATTGGGCGTAATTTCACCCACTGTACTAGCGATGAGGTTAAAAGGCTCCAAATTACAATTTCAAGAGTTTGATTTTACACCTTTTTATCGTATTTTTCAAGAAAACGTAAAAGGAATTTAGCTCTGGTAATAATGTATCAATTTTTACTTTTCCCCAACATGATAGTTTCAAAAAATAAAATTCTATACATGAGATTTATATTGTACCTGACATAGCGTACCTTAGTTTTTGACAATCTAAATATTAAAATCTGTTGCAAATGTTTCATGAAAAATCAAAATAGCTAGTATTTTCATTTGCTTTTTTTCACACTTGGGAAACCAAGAGTCTTGTTATTGGGAAATAGATTTTCTTAAACAACTTTTTTTTACATCTGAAGTTGAAATTGAATTTACTTGATTTATGAATGTTAGGGGAACTTCGAGACTGCTTTCCACTTGGTCAGAAGGTAACGCGGTTGTCTTTATAGTAAGATCTGGAATTCGAGTCACGGCTGGATCTTGTTTCTTTTGATCCGGGAAAATTGAATTGTAGTTCTGTTTCAGCGTATGTTTTGGCTTAGTGAACACATTGTAGAAATTTATTTTCCAGCTATCAGTTTTTGTCTCAGGTGCAAATGTTTTCGATGTATTCCTGTAATTTATTAACTTAATAGCCCTAACTTTGCATAAAAACTTCATTCGGCCTGAATGTTTTCGACTGATCTTTTATCGGATTAGTCCAAACATTTTTTTCTCAAGATTTATTTATGACAACAATTCTTAAGGCGTGGTTTTGTTTTCGGCGCAAAGAGCGGCTGTTTTCGGCTCCAGGAACGCTTTGTTGGTTTTGTGCCTGCTCATTTAAAAAACTTTTATTCAAAAAAAATTTTCAAAAAAAAACTTTATGGCCGCGATTTGGTCGAAAAATTAGGGGCAGCAGTCGAAAAATTAGTCGCGGCGTTCGAAAAATTGGCCGAGGCATGGTCGAAAAAATAGTCGCGGCGGTCGAGAAACTTTCTAATCTAAAAAAAGGAAAAACTCCATGGTCGCGGCATGAACGAAAATTTAGGGGGTAAATTTATAAGAGAGAACAAAGATCTCGTGGGGGTAATTCTTGTTAAAACGACCGTATCTCATTGGATTATCATTATAATTATAATAATCTTAATAATTATTAAGATATCTTTTATAATATTTCTTTATGACTATGTGTCTTGAGTGCTTTGAAAAGTTTAGTATATCAGCTCCAAAAATCTTGCACAACACCACGTAAAACATATCTTTCCTCAACACCATTTAACTTTTTTTTCAAAAACTCTTGTTAAATTGTTTTCAATACATATCTTATAATTCATTATCGAACATTTCACTATATATTTTTTTTTCTGAAAGCAGATGTTTGTTTTTCAAAACACAGATTAATATGCAACAGTTTCACTCTATTAGAGATCGTCTAAAAACAATGATTATCAAAAAGTGCTGGTTCAATAAATTTTATTTTTCGACAATCTCATTGGATTATTTTTAAATATATTTATTTATAATAGATTTTCTTAAAAATTTACACCCCCGCACCCCCCACAAGATACGGAAAAATTGCACCTAAGAGAAACTAAGAAAGTCTATCATTTTTGACGCTGATTACCACCAATGAAATTTTCTTGTTTTTAATCCAAAAACAAGACACGTGACAAAACATTTAATTCTTGTCGAAAAATTATGAAAAAAAAAATCTTTTTTTTTTGGTTTTTCAGAATAAAAATGGTTTATTTCTAACAAGAAAAACGAAATATCTTTTCTGTACAGATAATACATCATGTCTGACCGAGTATAGTCAAGTCTGATCAGGTATAGTCATGTCTGACCAGGTACATCATGTCTGACCAGGTATAGTCAGGTCGAACCAGGTATAGTCATGTCTGAATCAGTTATAGACTGCAAACGGCAATGTTTGCAGATGTGATCACATGTGAAACAGTTATGTCCAGAGCTGGAAAACAGCTATTGTCTGAAAATTGTATGATCAGACGTGAAATTTTGAGAAAAGTTCAGTACGAGTATCTCAGAACATGTCAAGTAAGAATCAACAACATCTTTCACAGTTAGGTTCCACGAAAGTTACAAGATAGGGAATTTTTCACATAAGAAAATTGTAAGATAGTGACATTACTTACAAAAAAAATGCAAGATAAAGACTTTTCTCTGAAAAGTTGCAAATCTGTAATTTTTTAAAAGAAATTTTTCTATTTTATATATTCAGTTCGACTTTGTTTCGACTCAGTTCGACTTTGAGATCGACCCTAGGCCCTGCGCGGTTACGGTTTTTTGGTACAAAAAATAAAATTTGGTTCGACCACTTTGGTCTAGACATACAGTCGAAACTTTGATCCGGGAATGCTTTTTAAATATCCTTTAAGATAAAACAAAGTTTCATTGCTGTGAGGTGCGCTTACATTAAAAATTGACAAACGGAATAGCGGTCTTTGTTGTCCGATTTGAGGTTCACATGTGAACGCGTTTTGAAAAGCTGGGCACTGTGTCGAAATGAAAACGGTTGTACACGGGTATTTGAATTGAAGTTAGTTTTCTTTAAATTTCATTTCAGTGTCAGCCGCTGAGTTCATTTTTGCGAAATTAAAAGTTATGTGACTCGAGAGCTTCAGGAAGTATCAAATTGTTTCACATTTCCTCTTTTAAGTTTAAGAAAAAAAACAAGATATTTCGGAAAAGTTGCCAACAATCATGGGAAAGAAAAATATCGTTCTGACCGGATAGATTCAGCTGTTTCTCCCGTGCGGAGTACCACATCCATGTACCACAATAAATTCTGGAGGAATTTCATAATTTTCAGCCGGGGTTCGAGCTGCAAAAACAAGCTTCA